CAGTGTCCAGAGCAGTGGCGACAGAATTAGCATTGGTGGTGGCGGCAGTGTGAGTAGTAGCAGCAGCAGCAGCAGCAGCAGCAGCAGCAGCAACAACAGTTGAAATCGCAGTAGAAGCAGCAACAGAATAGCAGTCAGCAAATAAGAACGCAGCAATCATAAGAAGCAGCAGGCACTACCACCGGACCACCAGCCACCACCACCACCCACCACCATCATCATCACATCATCAATCAGCATCATCCTCACCAAGGCCGCCGCTGCCGTGCCTACCACCACCACCCCACCACCTCCACCACCACCACCACCGACCACGCACAACAGCAGCAGCAGTATATCATCAAACAGCACAGTAGTAGTAAGGACTAGCAGCAGCAGCAAGCAGCAGCAGCAGCATAGCATCAACAGCAGTCAGTATGAGAGTACTGACAGCACGCAGCAATAGCAGCAACAGCAGTAGTACCCAGCTTCATCAGTGACATCGAACATAATCTAATTTCCCCCTGGAGACGACGTGTAGGCACTCGGTATGTATCATAGTTACTACTGGTTATTATTGCTTATAGGGAAGCAATTGCGATTGCATATAGACAACAGCAATACTCCGCTCAGTAAATACGCCGCGGTGAACAAAGAGTGAAACGCGTCGTATACTGTTAAATCTCTCATCTTTCGCTCTCGATGCCTTTAGGGCTAAAGGGCGAATGTCTATGGGCGTAATATCTAAGGGTAAATCTAAGCTACCGACATATAGCACAAACTCGACTCCTATTATTATACAACGAATAATTTCCGACATGTCGTGCGAGAATTCTCTTCGTTTGATATTAATATAGCAGATAATTTCGTACCATGTGCTGTTGGCAGGTTTGGTATTAATTTTAGCGTGCAGTTATAGAGTTGTAGCTGCGGGCTGTTGTTGTTACCGCCAGCTACTGATCACACGACAGGACACCGAGGCCTTCCAAACTGACGGTAATATATCCCTTACACTGCCGGTGTGTCGCGGGAAAAGATTTTATAAGCAAGCGTCAAGTTTTCGTTTTATTATTTTAGTCGCTGGGTTTTAGTTTTCCTCATAGAGACAGAGGGAGCGAGAGAGAGAGAGAGAGAGAGAGAGAGAGAGAGAGAAAGAGAGAGAGAA